CTGCATTGATGCATCAGTTATATCGACGAAAATGAGGCAACTATAACCATCGTACAACCAATACGCGTTTTTTTACAGCTGAACATGATATTCTGAGGAAAGAGACAAGCAGCACATCATCTAGAGAGAAAATTTAGAGGTCCATCGAAAAAGGAATTCTCATAGGCACTGGTAAACTAATCGGATTCAGGGAGATACGCAAGGTTGAAAAATTGGGATAGCGAATGAATGAGTCACATTACCGGCACATTTCGCTGGGATCGGTTATGACGAACAAGAACCGGTAAGTTTCGGGTAAGAGTGCACAGGGGTCCGAAAACTTTCACCAGTAAAAATAGCGTGAGATAAGCCCTGAGATTATCAGAACACAAGCTGAACGAATTGGCCGGATACACGGAAAAGACCGCAAACTCGTTCTGAAATGACTGTACGAAATTTAACTCCAGTAAATCTTGCTTGGCATTAAGCTGCAAACCAGGACGGACCCGAGATGGGAGCATCCTGAAGCATGCCAATTCCAGTATCTCAGCTCCGCTCAATAAGTTTTCTAGCAAAGGAACCTATCAATCTTGAGCAAACCCCTACTTTACAGTATGCTCAAACAGCTAGAAGGAAGACACGGAAAACACATTTTCACCTTGAATGGTACCATTAGTTCGGGTATACACAAAGAAACCCAGGCTGAACTTAACTGGCCTCCGACACCCATGGTGTCGACGTCAAACGTAAAAAGTAGAGTTGGCAACACCACGAGGCATCCCGTACTGTCATATAAGCATATAAGCCAGTAAGAACGGAACATGATTTTCGCCGTGACCCACCTACTGAACATAACACAAAGCAGAATTCTCTGGCCTCCATTTATTCGGAGTCGTTTTGCTGCGGGAATATTAACAACTGGGTAGAGAACGGTTGACGTAGGCGAGATAATCAAGCGGTAACAGGTAGCGACAAACGACCGCGAAAACAAGAAACATGTTGAACAAACATGTCTAACGGATAATTCTCGTCGCTTCAGGCTGGTCATGGATAGTTTCAGCGAGCAATAAACAACTAAGGGATGGACCAGAAACACAATGCATACATATAAACTGACGATCGATTGAAATTGGTACCAAATTCAGGACAATGTTAGTTGGAAGGTTGAGCCACTAAACGCTTGTATGCATGCATGGTAGTAACACGCGTACAAACTATCGGTGGTACTCAAGATTATTAAATTTTTAGAAAGAAGAGCAACGTCACCACCAGTGGTACACACGCATTCCCGTCCAGCAGTTGGTCTGGCTATGTATAGTTTAGCTATTTCAACATAAACTGGATCTAATTTGACCGAACTGTCTGAGTCAGGCAGCCGCTCGAAGTTAAAACCTCAAGGGGCTCTGTGATGGTGGCGAAATCAATTCTTATGGCGGAGTAACAGAGGGTAGATAGGGTATCATCGTTGATATCGTGCAAAACAAAGACAGCCCTTTATTTTGCCACCAAACGGATAATTGTTCGTCTAAGCTCCACCATCACACGCCAGAAAATCGGGCAGCTAAAGCACTCAGGGAACGTTTCTATATCCGTGCGCGACTAACCACAGCAGTCCTCCGTAGGTATGTCACCTTCCGGGAGAGGTCAGAACAAGGACTTTGCATCAGATTTCAATGGTCTAAGATCATCATCAAAGACAACGCCAATGTCGACACTGATTTTACAATGTCGTACAACTACTGAGTTTACTTAGTAGTTGTTGGGGCGGTACGCCTGCCGTAATAGGGTCCCCACGACTGCTCTGCACTCAGCTGAAAAAATGCAAGAAATGGCGCCTGATCGATATCAGTGGCGTTCTTACAGTCAGTTCATTTTTAGATCGTCTGACTGAACGCTTGCTATGGGCCAGCACGAGGTTTCTTCCTCATTACTTCCTTTCTATTCCCATCGATTTAAGACTTGAAGCATAATTAAATAAACTTTGTGGTTGTATACCAGTGAAGCATCAGTGTAAACACTAATGTTGCTGTATCTGATAATGATAATGAGAGTACATTTATGTAATGTAGTACTCATAAGGTTGCTGAAAATCCATCGATATATTTAATCATATTGGAAGCTCCGAAGTGGAGAGTGGACCTAGTCCCAGCATTTTGAAGGTGCCTACATTACCTTAATCAGTCAGGTTGTAAGAAAGTAAGGGTATGAACGCCACCGACATCGATTGGTTGCCATTGCTTGCGATGTGTTCAGTCAAGCGTTGGAGGGGGGTCAAGAGGACCCCATCCTGGAAGGCCGACGGCATCAAAAACACCCAAAATCTATGTAATCTCTCGTACCTTCCTGTCAGGTCGCACGTTATCCACCTCATGGTTTGTGCCGCTATGAAGGAGGCACCAAGTGCAACACTCAGTTCAGTAGATGTTTCGGGATACGTCGTAGCTGAAGTACTGAAGTACCTATCTTTGAGAGGTCATTCACTACCATGAAGTCCAAGTTTATATTCCCTACGGGGACTGAACCCTGAAGAGCGGGCGTGAACCCCAAGACCTCTAGCACAATATCTCAAGAGTCGGCTGGCAATCCTGAACAATGCAATTTTGGAGCACAAGCACCGATGCTTAAAACCTGGTTAAAGCAGCTGAAGTACATAAAAACCCAATCTTACCGTTAGTAGTACTTTAGCCCAAGCCTGTTGTTACATTGCGAGGGACAGTATCCGACTTCAGTTCCTCCTTTTTGACACTACTACTGACTCGGTTATCTGTTTGGACATTAGTTATGGTTGTTTGTTTGTTGTTTACACATCACTTACTGGATATAATGAACTACATCCTACAGGCTAGTGAATTCACAACAGTTATGGACAGTAATACATGTCAAACGCCAGTAACACATTAGCTATGGATTTCCGAACAACGGAGAGTGAAAAGTACCAAAGTAAAATGGGAAAACGATTAAGAACAAAGTACCCACACCTTTGAAACGTATTCCGCATTACATGGGAGTATGACAACATTAGCAGAGTTAATCCGGCATCCGTTGTGAATCCTACAAAACACAAATCAGCGCGCAACAGCACCTAAACATGTTCGCCAATAAAGCTAGTTAGATGTCACGTCCTGCATGGTCTACAACCACGCGTAAGTGTGGGTACCAGGTAGGAAGGATCCCACAGTACTCCAGCTGCAGCCATTTTCGTTTCGCTTTACAGTGCTCATTCCCTGAAAAGTTTTCACCAGTGAGGGTTTGAAGTGGAATACAATGCTCCCTCTGACGGAGAGTGCTTGGGTGTGCTCCCGAGACGCTCGCTCACAGAAATTCAGCATGATATGGCAACGAATAAGCTCAATTCAATCGGGTCGACAACTGCCGCCTCCTTGGATGGGGACACAAGGACTTAACTCACCAATGGTTAATGATACCGGTAGAAATGGTACAGTCAGTGGCGTTCGTGCATCAAAGCTGTCAGCTTCAATACGTAGCTACCCAGTTCCCGAACTAACTGGACATGATCCACACTGTCCTACTTTCCGGTGATATACGGTGGTATACGGTTTATGCCTGATAAACTGATTGATTGAGTATGAGTTTCAACCAACTTAACCTGATACGCCTTATTTTCTGCGCTGGATCGTTACTAGGTACAGTCTTGTCTGTCAGCCTGACCAACTGTAATCGCCTAACATTTGCCACACTGCGAAGGTGCTTGTGATCAAACTTTTGAAATCCGGGCACAAACAAGTATTCTTTTTACTCAGATTTTAGCTAAATGGTACAGTCAGTGGCGTTCGTGCATCAAAGCTGTCAGCTTCAATACGTAGCTACCCAGTTCCCGAACTAACTGGACATGATCCACACTGTCCTACTTTCCGGTGATATACGGTGGTATACGGTTTATGCCTGATAAACTGATTGATTGAGTATGAGTTTCAACCAACTTAACCTGATACGCCTTATTTTCTGCGCTGGATCGTTACTAGGTACAGTCTTGTCTGTCAGCCTGACCAACTGTAATCGCCTAACATTTGCCACACTGCGAAGGTGCTTGTGATCAAACTTTTGAAATCCGGGCACAAACAAGTATTCTTTTTACTCAAGGTAGATTTTAGCTGTTTTTTTTGCCAAAGTCTACTTACGTGCGCTTAGCTCCTGAACAAGTGATCAAAGCCTGTATTCTACAATATCGACATGTTGACTTTTGAACATACTCAGAGAGAAGATGCTGCATCACACGTATTGCAAGTATTTGTCACTAGACGAAGTCCATTTCTGACCACAACATATAGATGAAGTTGAATCCTAACGAGAGTACTTAAGAGAAACGAGGAAAAACAAACAAGACACCAAAAGTAACGTCACAACAATGCTTTTCAGGTCACCGGCTATTCAAATCAGTTTGTTTTGAAGCAACAAACGACACATGTGCTTACACTTGAAGATATTCAGTAGGAATCGCACTATATGCTCAATCAAAGATGAGTGAATATCTTGTTCTGGAAGTGCTCACACTTTTTGTGCAATTCTGACACAGCCTGCTACACTGACGTTGGATCCCCTACATTACTCGAGACTAGCGAACTTCCCCTCTGTTTCGGAGAGGCAAAGTGCTCCTTTCCTGCGTGGCGTCTTTTCGGATAGGGCTACGGAGGTTTGTGAACAGGGCAGACTGAGCGGTGGGAGTCCCAGCCGGGGACCGTTGTTCAAAATACCGGTCAATCCTGGTTATCTCAACTGCTCACAAGTGCATTCACAAGACAGAGTCTCTGCTGAAGGAGTCCAATTCTTGCTGTGGTTTATACAAAACGAAAGTGGATATCTGGGATGATAACTGGGTTGACGAATTTCCCACGGAGAGCTGACCAAATCATCGTTTCAATTTATCCACAGACGGTAACTAGTAGGATCACTTGAGACTAATTGGCAGATGAAGGATATGCCAGCCTTCCTGTATGAACAAAGCCCGAACACTAGGCTGACAGGAGACTGAGAGCTCCACACATCATCTTGCTATTTTGTAGATCGGCCACTTCGAACAGAATCGAATGGTTGTGGGGACTCCATTTCCATCAGATTCCGATGACGCTACACGAAGATGCATCTGTGAATCCCGCTATTTCATCAGGACAGACAGAAGACATGAACATTTCGGATTGCTTTAGTCAACTGTAAATGATATAGCAACAACGGCTTAATTACATCAAACACTTCTCTGAGGAACGGGGTACTTTGAGTTCAGTTTCACGGTAGTGGGATAGGTTGAGTTAGTTTTTGTGCACACGTGCCAGAGTTGGTTTACAGAAGGTCAATGCCCTCGCATTTCAATTACGTAAAAGTATGGCGAAAGTATGAGTGAGTCAAGTCCGATGGCCTGTCTCAAAGATGTTCCGCAACCGATGATCCCCATTACGAATTGGCTGTCAGTGATGTTGACTCGTTGTGTCGCAACAGATTAGGAATGTGTTCTGAGATCCTTTGAAAGTCTTGAAGACACATCAAGTGAAAGTGAACTTCCAGACGATGAAGAAGAGTGGTCATTCACACTCTGGAATCTTTTTTGAAACACAACCCCTTGGGTTATCGAGACCAGGCGCTGATTGGTTGCTCTATAAGAACGGTTTGAAGCGGACTGGTGTTACTGCTTGATGTTTGAGATATGATCATCCCCAAAAGGGTGGGTCCGTAAATTCCTTCTCAGAAGTACTTGTCAAATTGGATGGGGGGTTGTTTTGCAATGTAAAGTGGCGAGCTTCTTTGGGAAGCCGTTTGCTAACAGAGTTCTTTTCAACAGATTTTCTTTAAGTAGTTGGTCGGTTGTGACTCGATCCCTTTAAAGCAGCGTTGCGGATCGCAAACAACTGTACGCCATCGGAGAAAGGCTACTGCAATGAATACACCAGCCACTCCAGATAGCCTTAGGATGGACAGCACGCTGCAAACCCCTATCTGGATGTTCGGAAATTAGTATGGCAAGAAAGGCTAAACTGCCATCTGTCTCAATCACACGGGATACAGACAAATTAGGGAGAACATTACTTAAAAAGCCAAAAATAAACGGAAACGCTAGGGTAAAGCACAACATTCACCAATCAACATAGCTTATGATGACAGCACGAGACATGTCCACAACAACCCTGATAGTGGACCTGGAACAGCACTCACACCTTTCACACTAATGAAGAGGAGGCTCAAAGAGAGCTTGGAAGTCGGGGTGGTTACCGATGGATGTCGCCACCTTTTGAAATATCGTGTCCCTCGAAGGATGGCAGAAATGTATGGGAATGCGCTTGCAAGTTGGAGCTTGCATGCTTTACACCACGCCAAAAAATAAACGCTCTAGAGCAGTAAATGGACCTAATGTGATTCAAAGGCACAGAACGTTCTCCGAAAAAAAACGTGCTCACGAGGTAACGCTTGCCACCTTATTCCCAACTGTCTTTGCAAGAACTCATGTGAATAAAAAGCAAGATGTTGTGTGAGTAGCTGTTTTTAACTGAGGGACGTTAGCATTCAACTCATTCAGCACAAGGCATTTCCCACGGCTTACCAAGAGTACTGTGGAATATTGTTTCGAAACTCAGTCCACGCAGAACCAGACTCCGGACCGTCTCAGGCAGGAAGTGAACCACTTTGGAACGGAGTTCCCATAAGCAAGGCATAAGATAATCGGTCAGGATTGATCTGGACCCTCTAGCACGCTATCCTCGGCCTGCCAGATGCGTGACATAACCCAACATTTAACATACTTGAGGCATAAGATACCGGCGAACGCAGACTGAAATAGGATGGTTGATCATTGATGACAATTGGCTCCAAGAAATATTAAAAGCCGTGGCGAAGTTGCAGTCAGCTTTTCGTCAAAGATAGAGTTTATGACACACCCACGCACCATGCCCCTACATGGGTGTGAAGCCTGGCCTCTCTGAATACGCGGCTTTCGGTGACTGTTTAAAAAGCATCTGCCGCGTCTAGGGGCAGCAATGGGTAAGGATTATGTGCGACAAAGCGTCTTTCACTGACGCAAAGTCAACGGACTGAAAAGTATTATGGATAAACGCCGACTCCGATGGCTGTGACAAGGCGCGATGTCTTCTCAGCTCCAAGCAGGCAAGGTGCAGTTCAAGAAAACTAGGCAACGGAATATGAAGGCGCCCACATTACAATTGTCCTGTCCTGCAGTGCAGATTCGCAGGTTAGTGACCACTTGGCTAGAAACTGACAAAAACGGTCCAGAATCGCTTCCAGTTGGGTAGCTGTATTACTCTACTGCTGCCAAGACATTTCTCAAAACTTAGTTCCTCATGTTCTGCCTGTACCTTCTAACAAATTTAATGTATGACTATTCCTAAATGTTTGTTCATCCGGACACTAGCGCTTCGGGGCTTTTTTGTATAAATTCCACTATGGGACAGTCTTTGAGTAGCGTGAAAAGGCTGCAACTGCCATTTTAAGTCATGGGAGGACCTGGTACTCGACAAAGCAGCATGCCGAGCGGCTATCTAAGCAGGTGAGAACCTCCGAGGCGAAACGCGTAGTAGTGCTGCAGAACAGGTGAATCATTCGGAAGGGGCTGAATGTCCCTAACAAAGCTTCAATCCTATGGATTTGTGCACGTGCCTCAGTAAGATCGGCCTTGTGATCCACCAGTGCATGCATCGGTCCACCTGCTACAGGTAGTCACTGAGAATCGAGGTATGTTTGCTGTATTTTTAATGACTACCCGCTCGATATTATCATCCTAAGGGTTAACCGAATGCCAGGTTATCCATTACCAGCTTGACGACGTGCTGATTGGCGGTTCCGGGTAACACTTGTATGGTACCATGCGGGGCGAAGGTACGGCTTGACGGTATCCCAGTAGTAAACAGATAAATGGTGTCAAGGTCCATTGTTACATCATCATTTTTGGGACGACTGGTGGCCCGAGACAAGCTTCTGCACATTCGTGCGAAGCTCTTATCCCCTGGTAAATCTGATTCGGATATCAGCCACTCATATAGATACGCTATCATTCGAAAGATGCCACCTAGAATACTGGACTTAGTCTGGTTTTTCTATCCGTGGAAAACTAAATTTCAGCGGAAAACTACGTATGTATGCGAAACCGACAACGTCGGTTCGATTGTCTCCATTTTGATACAGCGAGTCTCCCGGTTTAATCGAACCAGTTTACGTCTATTTCCATTAACACTATTGGTGAACAAAGCTGGGTTTTCCATATTTAACTATTACTGCCGTGCAACGAACAGAAACTGACAATACACCAAAGTAGGCAAGCAGTTTGAGTACCTTCGCTTTGGTTTGAACGTGCGTAGGTGGTAGGCAAAAATATCCTTAGGTGGCGACAGCGGTGATAAGAACGCGGTATACATACCACACGGATGGAGGGGAGGAAAAACTTACTACAAGCGCAATAGTAGTCCAAATAGTAGCGGATCATTGACCGAATTTGTCCGTCCGAGCCATCCCCGTACAACTGGCTCACCTGAGTGCTCAGGGGATTGTCATTCAGATCTGCAAAATGTGAGCAGAATAAAGTTGGTTGGATTATGAAGATATCGTAGGTTTTTGGAATAACCTGCTACGTGACTATGTAAGGAAAAAAGCTCCTCCTTTCGAATGAAAATCAGCCCTTGCCGCAACAGGCTATGCCTGTAGATGCGAAAATTCATTCTGCCAATCGGAGTTGAGGTTTACTACAGCATTGGTCTTCAATAAGGATGAGACAAGAATCGGGATGAGCAAGACGTCTCTATATGCGAAGTGTCCAGACAACTACCCCGAACATATGCGATAGATATATGAGCAGCTGGTTCATTGATTTTCTCAAGCAGTCGAGCAGAGACGCTTATTTTTTAAACATCGACACTTTACGTCCAGATGGCATTATCTTTTTATTATGCTATAGACAAATATATGCCACGATACCACATTCCTTTCAAGGAACGAAAAGATTAAATATCTGTTGGAAGTGTTTCTTTGAGAGCCTTCTTATCTTGTCGTACAAGATGCCAGATTGGTTATGAACGAGCATTGCGTACGCACCATCGGATAAGAGATCCAAGTGACTCCGCTTCTTCTGTTTTTCTTAGTAATTAACTGTGCTTCATGCGCTGAACTACTTAACAGTTAGTCGCAGACGTCCTGAAGGAATTTGCAATTTACAAATTAGCCATAGATGCCCATGAAATCGATGACTATCAATTCACTGTTCGACTCCATCGCTTTCTGCGGCATAAGTGCAACAGTAATCGTATGGACACATGGGGGAATCGTTTGTATATCACCATGCTCACATCTTGCCGAGTCTCACATTTACGAGTCTGCATCTTTCGTTCCCCTCCCCTCAGAACGCATTATGAGACTTAACCAACCGCAGCCGCTATTCATTATTATCATTTATTTTTGAAGAGCATGGTCACAAACACAAAAAGTGAATGCAAGCGATGAATGCGAAAGAGTAACTCCGAACATCCCACCCCACAAAGAGAGAGAGAGAGAGAGTAGATCTATTTCTGCATTCTATTCAACACTCCGGAGGGTTGTTTGCAGTTTGGTCCATGAGCAGCAAACAAATCCATTTAAGCTGGCAAGGGTCAGCTTATATGAAACGAACATCAGAGGCAAAGCCTTACACGCAAGTTCCAGACTGTAAACAAACGCGCGCGGATTAATGCAAATATCGTATTTTGGTTAAGTCGACGATCGGTCACACAAACAAGCCCGATATGACGACCCGAAAAAACGAGACCAAGACTAAGTGGATCCAGTGTGAAGCGTGATCAGTATTCACCCGGTAGTGCGTCTCCACAAGCTGTCAAAATACAACAATGGAACAGCGCGGTTGAAATGTGAAACAGTTCCTCCACAACTTCGTTTGTTGGAAAAGACAACGAGCATGACTGCAAAAACTTCACCACTAACCAAGGATTTCCGGTCTCGCACGGTTGTGTAGTGACCCTTGTTTGATTTCTCATATTTCAATATGAACAACGCCAATCGCTTTAGTTCAGTTTAGTACAGCTAGGTCATTCACCAAGGGCACGTTAGTTCCAGCTGATACAATTTCCATCACCGGAAAGTAGGAGTGTGGGGGATACAGCCCAGCATTGCTCACTTCGGGGGAAATGGACGGTTACGCACTCAAGACAATAGTTTTGATGATGATATGGAACAAAGAAGTGCCCAAAATGAGGACCGTCACTTATTCAAATACCAGATAAGCCGGATCGAAGCATTCCTAAAACACAAATTTCCACGCAACTCTCCAGTACTCTCTATGTTGTGCCAGAAGAAATGTCATTGTAACAAAAAGCTGCCGAATGGGTGAATGTCTCCCATATAAACAGCTGGAAAACGGATCAGACACCGCTGTGATTGATAGTGACATGAACGCTCAGGAAAGCAGACTAAGTGCGGCCGAGGCCCGACTGGGTTGTCGTCTTGGACTGGATACGAGACGAATGGACAACGGAGAGCGCTTGTTGCAAATGTGTGCCGATCATAGTGTGTGCCGATCTTCAGTACCAGTATGCGAGCTCAAGATACCTCAATGGTTAAGGCAAGAACTTACTAACCAAGTCTGTTGTTCGAACCCAACCTCAGCAACTCGACTGATCCTGGCTAGGCTTGAGCAACCTGGCAGTATCTTAGCCCTCATGCGTCCTCTGGGTGACATGGCAGTCAGGCATAGAAAGGATATTACAGCTAAACAATTATAAGTATTATTTTACCAATTTGTGGGACAGCGGAAATCGCTTGTCTATGTGGTACTCACCAACGAACCAGTTATGTATCCAAATAGACCACATCTCCATCAGCTACCCATGGTGAAGGTCAACCACTGCCTGCCGCTCCTTCTGCAGCACCAGCATGGACTTCGACAGTGCACTTTTCCGTTGCTTGTATTCATGTCTATGCGAAACGGGCACACCACACAGCTACCGAGAGGCTCGTGGACCCAGAAACCAAGCGAACCTATAAGCAGCGGGCTTCTGTAACAACTGCTTTCTGGTCAGATGTCGCATGTTAATGGCCATTAGAGACAAATATCCAAAGTTCCACCCAATTCCCGAACTTGCACCCGTGGTACGAACCAGATAACCTCATCCAAGCACTGGATCTCTGATAAGACATTGGTTTTGCTAGGGACAAGGGGACGGATTTTTCCTAGTCGCAACACACGTCAACTAAACGCACCATCTAATAGCAGGTTAGAATGTGTCACCGGGCAGACCGGGAAGCTTAGTGGATCCGAAATACAAACAAGCGAAAGAGAAAAAGAGCGAAAAAACTGTACTAGCATTGTGGTAGATTTCAGTAAACTTCAGAAACCCCCAGAAACAATTGTTTTACCGGTTATGTTTTGAGGTGTGGAGTAGAGAGGCGCCAAATACGGAGTAGCATATAGGTGGTTAGAATGAAACGTACAAGTGAATATGTAAGGAGAGAACTTTGAAGGTGTAGGGGGAAGTGTGGTAAAGTACTGACGATAAGGTGATGCACAAAGACAGATTAAAGACACTGACCGACTGTTCGTCCAACGCCCATCGATCAGTTAGATGGATTGCATTCGCGAAGCTCACGCAAGGACCCAAGTGGCATGGCAACGCAACACTATGTAGTGTAGGATACTTGGGGAAAAACAAACGATTGTATACAGGGAGCATGCCGGAATGTCGAGATGCTAGCTACCGACAGATCATCATCATCATCATCATCATCATCATCATCATCATCATCATCATCATCATCATCATCATCATCATCATCAACGACAGCATGACGTCAGTGTTCAACACCAATGCTTCACTGCCGTACAGCCATGACTTAGTTGAAAGCCTTATTGTAAAGAAAAGAATAAAGGTGGACGGGGAAGGGACTTAGTGCTGGCTTACCACAATCATTCCGAGGTGCCTACACCTCCAGACATTCACTCAGGCAATCTGGACAGAAACTGACAACAAGAACGCCACTGACATCGGTTGGCAGCCATATCTTGTAGTGTCTCCAACCAGGCACAGTGAGGATCACGCGGTCCCCATCCTGGAAGGCGAGTAGCACCGACAGCACCCAAGCGTTTCGTGATCTCCTTCATACTCCTCTGCCAGGTCATGGGTTGGCCACCTCTCTGTTTACGCCACTCCGAATTGGGCATGGAAAACAGTACTCTCTTCGGCAAACGATGGTTCGGCATGCGTAAAACATGTCCCAACCAACGCAGCTTCTGGTGCTGGACACATTCTTCAATGGAAGTACCCGTTACACAACCGAAAACACGCTTTCTAACTGCCTCGTTACGGATTCGCCGACACCAACCCACGCGAGCTATGGTTCTGAGACAACGACTGTCAAACACCTGAAGACGTCTCAGTTCGAATAAGCTGGCTGGAATAGGGCAAGTCTCACAGCCATACAACAAAACAGTCCGTACTGTAGCTTGATACACACGTCCCTTCAGATTCAGGGATAAACCATTCTGACGCCATAGGTGTCTCAAGTTAGCAAACGCGGCCCGAGCCTTGCAGATTCGTGCATTCACCTCATCTGTCACACTACCGACAGAAGTAATGTTTGAATAGCTAGAGTTTGGAATAAAAGACAGTAACGCCCTGGGAAAACCTCGGAAAAAGGAATGTCAGTGAATGGATGTATTGGCCAGGTAGATCCGGGCGCAATGTCAGAAAAGTAGGCTATATTCTCAGAGAACAGTCGCTCTTAAACATCAGTGTTAGAGCTTGTGTAAACGTCCATAGTGATGGTAACGATAAACCACCCTATGGATACACTTCGGTTTAGCGTCGTATTTGAAATACATAAACACACACACACACCGAAGGCTCCATCTGAGAGAGTTTGGTCCCTTGAAAGACAGACAGACGAAGAGGGTCACCCTCGAATGGGAGACAATGACTCAACCTTTTTAAATCCTAAACACGGTTTGTATGGAAGACAAGCTGACGTACAAATGCTAAAGTCTTATGATGGGTTTGGGGACATGCATTCTGGAGAGGAGTTTCCGTGCAGCAGCATCACTGTCATCTCTGACATGGTCACTGAGCCGTCTCGTCCTAGAATCATCATACACGCCAGCTGCAATATAACTGAGACTACCACTGAGAGCCTCTATTGCCAGTGTTCCGGGCTTAACCACAGGATGAGTGGGTGAGGGTTAGAGTGCGGTCGCAGCAACTGAACAAAACGACAGTAACAACACGTGATGTATAACGATATCTCACATGGGAGGTCTGCGCGACATGATAAATAATAATAATAATCGTTCAGTTGCAGCACCCTTTCGGTGCCTAGCTGCCATGCCACACGGAGGAGGCACGAGGACTGGGATACTGCCAGGGGAAGTCGATAGGTAGAGGTCGGGTTCGAACCACGGACCTTCCGGTCAGCAAAATCGCGCTTTGACCACTTGGCCCATCTCGCGGCGCGACAGCGAAAGTCAGAACCAGTCGGTGATAAGCGATATGCCTGATGGGCAGCACATTCGTCCTCTAGATCGA